TGCTGAGGTCCAATATTCCTCCTCCTCCTCGTATGATTTGGGCTAGGTTCTTGCAAGAGTTACCAACAGACCTAGTTGTCTCCCTACAATGCCCAGAATAAGTCAGCACTGGGCCCCTGAGTCACATGTCGACGAGGATGGTGGCTCTGGCATTAATGTGGTTCCCCCCAAAGCAAGAACCTTCTTGCTCTTCTACCAGGCTGAAGTTTATCTCCATGTCTATTTAAAAGATGGACAGTGGCAGCCTAAAAGAATATGAGGGAGGTTGTCACCAGTGATGGACATAGTTTGGGAAGAGCTCAAGACCCAAAGGACACTTGGGATTATTGAGGGACCTTCCATAATCTCAGGATGGGGGTGGTAGTTTCTTTTTTTCCCTCATTCCCCAGAGCTCTTCAGTCTCGGAGACCCCAAGAGATGCCATTAATACAGATTCCTCCTCTGGCCCCTTTGACACACTTTCTTTTGAAGGACCTGGAAGAGAAAGCTCTTTGTATGTGGTCAGAATAAACTCATTGTACACCCAAACAATTAACTCCTCAATGGACTTGCCAGCCCCTTGAAAGGGCCAGCCCTGCTTCCCTGGACCTCTTGGGCTCTATTCAGTCCCCTAAGCACACCAATGTTTTTGGGGTTTTGTTTTGTTTTGTTTGTTATTCTGAAAAGTCTTTCCTTGAGAATAGTCAGAGGGATCTACATTGTCCTCAGCCCAGCATTTATCTCCCCTCGGCCAGCGAATGTCAATCAGGAATCAAAAAGCCAAACAGAGGAGGCTTTGAACGGTGTCATGGGGGTCGAAGTGACTTCCAGCTGTCTGTGCGTGGGCCAGGCCTTCTTGCAGGGCAAGGAATTGTGCTGTCACACAAACCCACTGTCTGTATAGACTCCCAGAGCCCATGGAGGGGCCAGGACTTTCTGGGGCTGCACCTGCAAGGACAAGGCATGGTTGGGGGTGGGGGAACCTTGGAAGGCCAAACGCCGAGCCTGTGGTGGCTGTGCGTCTGGCGGTTTCCAAAGCTGTTGCTCAAGGTCCCTTACTTGCCTGGAGACTCAGTTCACTTTTTATCTGCCTGGTGACTTCCTCCTTCTTGGCTGGTGCTGCAAAATGACAATCTTCAAATTGACTTTTTTTTCAGTGTTATATCTTGCCTTGGTTGTGGAAGAAAGTCCTATTACTTCAGGTCCAAAAGATTCACTGAGAATAAGCATCAGGCATGACATCATCAGAGACATATATGTAAACTGAGATTAGATATTTTTTCCCTTAAAAATATATGGAAGAGCCTCTCTCTTAATTAAGGATTGCTCAAATGATCTAGTTGCTGATGCCTGATGACTTATCTGCGATGAATTTTTTACTCTCTTCCTTTTGTTTTAATAGCTTTATTGAAGTATTTATATATCAACAAATTCACTCCTTGTAAACGTACAGTCCAATGAATTTAGTAAATTTATAGAGTTGTGCAACCACCACCAGAGAACATTTCCATCACCTCAGAAAGAAACCTTGAGCTTATTTACAGTTATACCCCATTTCCATTCCCCATCCCTCACATACCACGGATCTATTTTCTGACTCTATGGGTTAAGTTTTATTAGACATTTCACATAAATGTAACTGTATAATGTATAGTATTTCCATCTGCTTCTTATAATGTTTTTCATCTATACCCTCACATGTTATTAGTGTATATTCCTCTTCACTGCTCAATAACATTCCAGTATATGGATATACCACAATTTATTCACCAGTTGACAGAGAGATGGATTGTCTCAAATTTGAGGCTATTATGAATAATGCTGCTATGAATATTTGTGTACATGCCTTCAGGAAGACATTTTGTTTTTTTTTTATTTCTGTTCAGTAGATTCCTAGGGGAGGAATTTGGGAGTGTTGAATGCTAAGTTTATGTTTAGCTTTTAAAAGAAACTACCAAATTCTTTTCCAAAGTGGCTGCCCAATTGTGCATTCCTACCAGCTGTGAACAAAGGTTCCATTTCTCCTTGTCAAGACTTGGTATTTTCTTTTCTATTTTAGCCAATCTAGTGGGTATTTAGTGGTATCTCACTGTGGTTTTAATTGCACCTTCCTAATGACTAATGATGTTGAGCATCTTTTCATGTGTTTGTTAGCCATCTATATGTCTCTGGCAAAATGTCTATTAAAACAACTTTGCTCATTCAAAAAATAAAGACATGAGTTGTAAGGTTTATTTAATTAAAAAACTTTGATCAGATTTTAACTTTGTAAATCTGTTTTTTAAAAGTAAACTTTGTAAATCCGTTTTTTAAAAGTAAGCTGTTAAATAAGGTGGTCAGCATTCATGGAATTATATACCCCCTTAGTAGACCTTTAACTTATTCTCCACCTGCAGAGTTTTCTGAGGCTTGGTCATCAGGAGTCCTTCATTTTTAGAAGAGATATTGCTGCACAGGGGAGTAAGGGAGGGCCTCAGGTTAGTCAACATACTGGATGTGACGTGGGGACTACAGTTTGATCCTGCTTGGGATCAGGAGACCGGGGGCAGACGTACAAACCTTACACTCTCCCCAGGGTCTGGTGTGGGGCCTGGTGCTGCTCCAAGGCTTGCCCGGAAACAGAACTGCTGTGGACCTTGGACCCAGGCCTGGGACCCCCTGCTTGGTAGAAGAGGTGCGCTTGTTTGCTAGTCAGAAGCCAGGTGCCCAGGTGCCCGGAGATGATGGCCGCAGGGTCCTGTTGGCTTTGGCCTAGCTTCCTGGCTTTGGGGCATGCCGGATCCCACAGGTGGCTCCGGGCAGCCGTGCTCCTTGTCTTTTCGCACTTCATAAAGATTTCCATGTAGGTCCTCCCTTGTGGCGAGGAGCAGCTGTATCTCTTCACCTTCGGTGACCTTATTCTGTAGGGAAATTCACTCCCTGCATGTGGCTTCACGCTCTGTGGGTTACTGCACCTGCGTCTGGGCAGTCCGTGGGAGTCCTCTACCTGCAGGAGTGCGGCTCCTCTTGGGAAACCTTCCTTGCTCCCCTTGGGTACAGATCCCCTTTGCTGATGTCTGAGCCCAATGCAGTCCCCAACTCTCATCTGGATGGCAAGAGAAAGAGGCAGGATGTTTTCAGTTATCTTCCTCCAGAGAGACACAATTCTTGTAATGTGGGATGGTTTTAATGTCTACGTTAAATATTAAAATATTGCATAAACCATCCTGCACTTGGATTCTCAGTCCCTTTTGGAAAGTTTACCTCTTACTTTCCCTTTGATAGCCTGTGAGACTCCTGGAAGTGAAGCGACTCTCTGAGGACGGGCTGAGCATACTGTGCCCAGCTATTTACACTGTGGACTCTGCATCCGGCAAAAGCAACCAAATGTGCATTGCAGCTGCAAAAAGGCTCCTTTCAGTGGCTCATTGAATTCAATGGCAAGAGGTGTTAACAGAGTCAGGGGAAGTGATGCTATTAAAGAAAATGACATTGTGTGGCTCCCTTCTATGGTTATTCTCCCTCAATGACTTCCAGATCAAGCTCTCACAGTTTGGCATCAAAAAAATACCTGTTTGGGATCCAGTTGGAGGGAGATACAATGTGCGGTGCCGCAACTCCTCCCTTCCTGCTGCCTCTCATTCCTAGGGTTGATTGTCAGTTCAAGATATCTTTGGCCTAGGGAGAGTTGGGTCTTGGTGTCAGCACCTGGGAATAATAGTGGAGTCAGGTGTCACACAACTGTCAAGTTGCTGGCTTGGCCTTCAGCAAGGGTGTGGGTCTCCATAACTCTCAAATCTTAAGATTCCAAGGGTAAGGGTGTTGACACAAGAAAGAGATCAGGACTCTGAATTCTTGCTCCCTCCCCTGATAAGATGCAGGGAAGTCAGCCAGAGGTATAGGGAACTCCAAATGGTGGAGGGTTGCTATTATTGATGATCTGACTGGCGTCTCCTAGACTATCTGAGAACTTGCATTCTCCATAAATAGTTAATGCTCAGAGAATATCACATTCCATTCTAAAAGATCTCTGGGGGCGTCTTGGGAGGAGAAGAACGGTGTAATCATCAAACCATTGGAGATGATAGTATTCAACCTTCCTCCTCCCATTGAGGGAGAAAACAGAGAAATCTCTAAACTATGTATCTCAAGATGAGTGAAGATACCTGTTCTCATCCTTCATCCAGGGAATGAAAAAAAATTATTCTTTTTGCATATAAAGCACAAACACACATACACAGAGTATGTAAACAGATAGATAGTGTGAGTTATTAAAATTTCAAGGAGGTGATTAGGAGAATAAAAGGTCTAAAAGTGCTTCTGAAATGAGCAATAATGAAAAAGAAGTTGAACAACACTTTTTTCAGCTAAAGGTTTTGAGGCCCTGAGGAGTCCTGGAGGGTAAATAAACAAAGTCTGCACCAAGTCCCAGCCTGCAGAAGTTCTTGCTCTGCGCAAAGAGCTGCCCACACTAGGGACGATAAGCATTAGGACTTTGCTACTGGGAGCTCCCTCCCTGCTCCCATTCTTGATAATAGAAATATCAGAGCAAGACCAGGGTGATGTCTGCAGCTTCACAGGTTAGGCTGTATCTCATTTTGTTTGCCCCCACCTCCTACGGGGAATTGCAGCGCATGCTGTTTCAGAGCTAAAAATGTGCCAGGGAGTCCCGATTCTCCTCAATTTAGCATGCAGGGGAAAGAGTGATCCTTCCTGCCTTCTCATCATTTGGACTTTCCAGTGGGGAAGAACGATGATGTCATCCGGGTATCTTCAGGTTGATAGAAAGGATCCTCCTAAGCCACGAGTCCATTTGTGTGTCCCCTGAGATGGTGAGCACATACCCGGGTTGGTTTTACAGTTGTGTGTGTGTATATGTGTGTGTGTGTGTGTGTCTCTCTCTGTTCTCTTTTCTTCCTCGATCTTTTCTTCTTTCTTTTCTTTTTCTTTGGTCTCTTCGCTGGGCCTTGGTCGGGCCATGTACAAACCCCAACCATTCAACAGTGCTGGAGAGTAGATAGTATTTACCTCAATAATGGTAGTTTCTTTTCACTTCTTTTTAACCCTGAATTCAGATGACGGGTCTAAACCAACACCCACGATGGAGACCCAGCCCCTGTTCGATGGAGATGGTAAGCCCTTGTATTACTTCCGCCCCTTGTCCTTCTACATATTTTCAGATTTGGGGAAAGTCTTAACCTTAGATGTTTGTTTAAGCTGCATTATCATTATTTTTCTTTTTTAATTTTAATTTTTCCCAATGTAAGCAAATGCTCCAAGGAACTGGTAACACTCTCTCCTTCTGGAAAGGCCCTCTGTTTTCCCCAGGCTTCCTGCCTGGCTCCCGATGTCCAACAAAAACACAGTCTGAGTTGCCAAGAGCAGGGAATCATCGCTGAGAAAGTCATCCAGTGTCCCTTCAATGCTTACTAGCCCTGTGCCTAGCTTGGTGTGAGGACCCTGGGGGATGAGCAGGGTGCATGCCAATGTTACCCTTTGCTCTTAAGATAGCTGCAATCGCTTGAGAGCTTTATGTGCTGAATTCTGTGGTCTCAATTTTTAATGTAATAGACATTTATGGAAGAAAGAGGTCGCAGTGGTCTGGGAAAAGCTTCCATGAAGAGATGAGACTTGAGCTCAATCTTGCAAGCATAGGAGAGGAATCAGGCCAGGGGACTGGCATGAACAAGGAGGGAGTGCAGTGGGAACAGAGTGAAGGACGCATCAGGAAACAGATGGGTGCGTGGGGCTGACTTGGCTGTGTTATGTAGGGCCTTGAGATTTGAATCTAGGGCATTTGGGACAGGGGAAGTTCTAGGTCAAGGGAAATAGTGGCTGGTGACAAAATAGATGATGGAAGTCCTTGGAGGTCTGGGGACTGGATAGAAGGGGCCCAGGGTGCAGAAGTCTGGCCTCCGTTCCAGAAGCTATGCAGGGCCTTCTCTACTTCAGGTGCTTTACTGAGTACTCTGGATTCTCTGGGGCAGGAACAGGAAGTATGGCAGCGTGAATTCTCTAAATGTTCTGACCACCAGATTTGGCTTCCAGAGCATTATGTAGCAAACTTTTAGCAGCTCTCAGCCAAGGGTGTCCAAGCCTGGATCATGAAACTGGACAGTAGGACAAAGAATTTAAAACGGATATTGCTAGCACAGGCTCAGCTCTGAGGAGGATTGAAAGTGGTGAATTCTTTGCAACTGGTTCAGTGGTGGAATGTAGGTTGGTTCATGCCTAAAAATTCAAATGTCTCTGTGATTCACAAAGATCCTAGGTCATTTGCCAGTCTGGGTCCTGGACGACTGGGTGGGAATGGAGAGCACTCTCACTGAAGAGCGTATCCCTCCACAGAACGTTCAGAACATCCTGGGTTTCCACCTGCTCTGTCCACTGGGTGACCCGAGTTCTGAGAGTTCGGGAGAACCCTGGGGCACTCTGGATGGAGGAGGCACTCAGCTTCTGCTTAGGGAGACCCTGGGAAAGGGGGTGGGAACACACGTGAGCCCTTTTCCTTTCTTCCCTCTTAGAGCAAAGTCTCAGCAAGCTGAATCTGCTGTGGCTAAGCTGTTTGCTCTGAAATGGTCTCTGTGGTTGGTTTGGCGTTCGTTTGTTGACTTATCCCCTTTCAATCTTCTCCCAGAGAAGCAGCTGAGAGGGACTTGGCTTGGCCCATGTTCTTCACCTCCTGGGATAATATTTTCATTCCTGGATGGAGTGGCTCGGTGCCTCTGGACTCTGACCACTCTACCTCCCAGCACAGGATGTCCTGGTTAGCTCTTATGAGCTGCTGGGGAGAGGAGCTTCGTTCGTAAGGAAGGGAGAGGGTTTGGGGACTAGGGGGATATGTCATGAGGGACGTAGCTGAAGTTTCCAATGCCTTAGGCTTTTTAAAAAAGCTTTTTTACTTCTTTACCCAGACCCTCCCTGACTCACACACAGTCTTTTATGATTTTTATTTTTCAGAAATCACAGCTCCTACCCTATGGATTAAGCACTTGGTAATCAAAGACTCCAAACTGAACAACACCAATATAAGAAATTCAGGTAAATCATCTTCCTGTCCGTCCTTGTTTGCTCCATGCTTACCGACTGTGTGGGTTTAGTTAAGTCATTTAATTTGTCTGGTCTTCAGTTTCTACATCCGTGGAATAAGAAGGTTGAATGAGTTCATTCCCTACAACTTTGATTTTCTTCACTTATCAACTCAGGGATCATATGTCGTGAATAGTTGATCCTTTATCTAAAAATGGTTTTGACTGTATATCTTAATATTTTAGTTGACTTTCTGTATGCCATGGAGAAGAATTTGAAAGAAGACTGCCTGGGCATAACCAAGTTGGACTTCAAGCCTGGAGGAACTTGGTCTATGTGTTTTTAAGACTCTAAAAGCTGTGTGGTAGTCAGCTCTTTCCTGGTCTGATCTTTTTGGGGGATCTTATGAGTGGTCAGATTCTGGTGCTGACTGAACCCTTTGTAGAGAGGTGATGATTTTCAAAAGTTGAGAAGATCTGTAGGATTTATTTGTAGAGTTTATTTATCCGAAATAAAGACCAAAGTCAACACAGTTCATTTGCCATTCATAAAGACTAAATGTTCATCAATATGAAACAAGTCTCTCTCTCTCAGCTTTAGACTTCATTGTGATCACGAAATACTATTACTTTGCATAATTTGTGTAAGCTGTTGAATTTAGCCATGTCTTCTTTTCTTATAGATGGTAAGGGCTGTGTACAAAAGATACATGCCTTTGAACCAGCAGGCAGAGTTTTTCATGACCAGTGGCTGATGAGTGGGCGGCCATTGGACTCCTTAGTGTTTGTGTGCCAGCTCTGTCCTCCAGGGGGCGGTGTGGGGGCTGGATCACAGGAGGTTGGAGATCAAGAGGTGAATCCTTGAAGCATTGATTAATTTTCCCTTTGACTTGCAATGGTTGGTACCTCTCCATGTGTCTGGTTCACTGTTTGATAAGAATTGAAAGTATCAGATGGATGGAGACTGTGTACCAAACTAGTACCCTTGTACCATACTAGTGCAGTGGTTTGGAATCAGCAAACCTGGGTTTACATTCTATCTCCAACACTTAGTGAGGGATCCTAACTCAAATAATCCCTCTGGGTTTAAGTTCTAATCTGTAGAACAGAATCATGATCTGTCCCTCAAAAGACTGATTAAAGATTTACTAACCTAGTTTCTATAAGGTATTTGATGTCTGGCTGCATGATAAATAGTAAGTTCATGAAAAATTATAAGTATATGTGTTATCGTAATTCTTGGTGGGACTAATGGGAATATTAATCATAGTGCTTATCATGAGAATTCTTTAATCAGGAAATAAGTGATCACTGTTAACCCTAAGCAAAGCATTTATCAGATAGTCTGCTTCTAAGTGTCTTCTTCTTTCTCCTTACTGTTAGAAAAATGGACATGTCAAAGGTAAGTAGGTTTGGTGCCTATAGTACCTAATGCTTAAGGGAACATTTGCAAATGGTCTTCCTAGTTCCTGAGACACTGGGAGGTCTGCAGGCCTCCCAGTGAGGGGATTCATTCTCATTCTGTGACCAAGTGGTAGATAGGAGGCTGAGCTTTCAGAATCACACAGCACCTTTTTCCTGAAACACTCACATTTAGCAATTGCTTCCATAAATTCTTTTCTATCTATCAGTGGTTAATTTCTCTGTGGAGGTCATTCTTTTTGTGAGCAAAAAAGACTTTATTGCCTGCCTATTTTGTCTATTATAGAATCCAGCTCAATGCATTTCATTGCTTTGGGAAGATGGAGGGAAAGAGATCATTATCAGTAAATTAGACTAGCACTGTTGGAGTAGCTAATATACCTTTTTTGTGAGCAGTATTCTCTGCATAGGATAAAAAGATGATGTCAAGTTCTGCTTTCCATCCTCCTTTGCCTATGTACTTCCTATCGGATATGTTCAGGATCATATTGAGAAATGGTTTTCACGCAGGTACAACTGCCTCCTTTTCATTGGTGTGACCCAGCCACTTTTATTTTTCCTAGTTGGTCCCAGTTATGTGTGTAAGATGAGTGTATAGGACAGTTGTGGGGGGCCTAACAGTTCTCTGGGAGAGACTGAGACCAAAGATAATGATCAGGTATTGATATCTTAGTGATCTAATAAACGGAGACATTCTCTATCATGATCAACTGGCCATACTAACTGAAGGTCTGCTGTATTTTTGATGTAATTATGTGTAAAAGACATGGTTCTATAAAGGCCTAGAGCAGGGGTTGGCAAGTGGGTACCTGATTATTTTGCAAGTGAAGTTTTATTGGAACACAGCCACTTTGACTTGTGTATTATCTATGGCTGTTTTCATCTACACAAGAAGACCTAAGTAGCTGAGACTGAGCCTGTGTGGTTTGCAAAGCCTAAAATATTTACTCTATGACCTTTTACAGAGAAAGTTTGTTGACCCTCCAGCATACATGATTGGCTGAATGGAAGCCTCAGGATGGCAGGGTGTGTATGGAGTTATTTCACTCAGGTTTCTCTGTAGATCAAGCAGAAGCAGGGGCTGTGGTTTCTGAGATGCTTCCTCATGCACCCAGATAAGCCTGTGTCAGCACAGAAACTGCTGAGGCAGCTCACAAGGCTCTTCGTCATCACAGATGAGCCATTTCCAAGCTTTACCATCCTGTTCTGGTGCAGGATGCTCTCACAAATGTGTTGCCAAGAAAGCCTTGTGAGGTTTGGTTTTAGTAGGTGACAGGTAGGGAATCTTATACATTTAGTAGAGAGAGACCATGAAATAACCACAGCCTGGGCTTTGGAATCATACATTCCTGCAGAGCTGGCTTCCAGTGCTGGCTTCTCATTGGGAGACTTGGTGAGACTTGGTGAGCTTGGGAGCTCCCTGAGTGTTGGCTTCCTTATATGTAAAAGAAAGTTAGTGCCTTGCAGTTTTGTTTTTCAAAGATTCAGCAACAGACATATAATGACTGGCACATAGTAGAAGCCATTAGTGATTTTTAAAAAAGATCCAGAACGATGGCTACTCTGACGGAATATTTCCAGGTGTTGTGCTAGCCTCTTCTCATATGTTGTCACCATTCACTTAATAAATCAGACATACTTTGGTGATAACTCGTGTCTGGGCAGCTGGCTCTGGTGAGGACTGGAAACTCGAGGTCAAACACCTGAGACCATTTTCCATTAGACTTTAGTGGAAGATTCTGGGTGCAGGTGAGCGTCAGCCGAAAGCCTGGGGAGGTTGTAGCAGGACTCGGTGCAGCCCCTCTGGGTGAGGACTCTTCTAAGCCATCCCTCAGAGGCAAAAGGGCCATCCCAGTTTCTTTTACACTCCAAACATCCTTTTTCACACTTAGACCCTGTGACGCCAGGTTTGTTTTCTGGCCTGGGGACTGCTGATGTTGGAAAAGTTCCATGGGGCAGCTAAGTTGGGCAATAACACCACACACATGCCTGCAGATGGGTCCAGTCTCTGGCTCACCTCCTGGAAGTTTTGGTCCTTGTTTTTAAGGCTTTGTCATGTTTTGCTATTGTCAGTGCTGCCTCTGAGTCCCGGGAAGCTCCAGCAGCAAGAGATTTGCTCTTTTTGGTCTTCTCTTCCATTCTTATACCCTCAATACCTCTCCTCCATTGCATCACAAATTCGTTTACATTCATGAAGATGTCCCAGGCCAGCTAACACCCTAGACCTCTGGAGCAACATCTCACAGATGAGAACCAGCCAGAGCCTTGGTGCTGCTGTTATAAGGAAATGTGAACAACTGCTGAAGTTTTTTCATTTCCTTTCTTTTTCTTTTTTTTTTTTTGTGTGTGTGTATGTGCATTTGTATCAGGAACTAACTACCAAGGGATTTCTTAAAATACCTCTAAGGTGAAAATATTTTTAAGACCTTTTTAAAGAAGAGGGCGAAGAGATGAAATAAAAGACAAGTTAGGCTTCATCTAATTCTTCATCTCATATTTCAAGGTTTCTGATTTAACTATATGCAGATACTGGGAGTCTTTTTGTATCTGTATGGTTTAAGTCTTTTTGTTTCCATGTGACAAAATTTTGTGCTTCCTTCTCCAGGATGGTACAGACTCTCAGGAGATAGAGTCATGTGTACCATAATGACATTCCCAAGCCCCACAGCTTGTTGCCCTCTGGTGGAGTCTCCATCTCCTTCTTTCCTTCCTCCCTGGCTTTTCTAACTGTCTCTTTGATGATCTAATGATGGCCCTATGAACCTGGCCATGTAAGTTAAATCCATCAGGACCACGCCTCTCCTCTGTCACCTCCTTGACCAACAGAGCTTCCTGCTGTACATCAGTGAATGAAGCAACTCAAGGTACCTCTACTCCCAGAGATAGAGCCACTAAGAGCGACATATGGTGGAAGTGTATTTCTTATTAATTTTGCCATGAAAATGCACTCCCATCCCCTTCTATAAGAGTGGCTCTTTACCCAAGATGCTATACAGGTATACGGTACCCATCATCCCTGCCCTTACCTGCCAGATTAAGAACATCGCTCTTCTGGGCCTGCCTTGGGCCCATTGGCCACAATTTGGATTGCTCTTCCCTCTCCTAGGAAGTTCCTGCTGGGATAGCTGCTATGACTGGGGCTTGGGGTCACTGAGGCAACTGCACCTCCTGGCTGGATCCCCCACCCCACAAGCCTGCACTCTTGGCCCGCCTAGAAACCACGGGCTGATGTAATGACCTGAGGCCTGGAAAAATAAACAGCTCACAAGGAAACCAGCGGTAGCCGTTGTAAGCAAATATCCCACAGCCACCTGGAATCTCGCACATGACGTGATTGGAAGGAAGAATGAGTAATCCACTCACGTTAGCAGCCGGGACGGGCCTGGGCTTGTGTGCATTTAAAATATTTATATAAAAACAAACCCAGGATATTTATTTCTATAACTGACCTTCTGGGCATCTGCCTGTCTATCCATGCAGGTGCCTTGGTCTATCATGACCAATGGGACTGAGCTGGGCAGGGGCTGGTGGTCATCCCCATGGCAACAAAGGCTCTGTTCTTTCTCTAGTTGCCCCTTTGCCGAGAGAAGC